AAAACCCCGCCCGGGGTCAAGCGGGGGGGGGGGGCATTCCTCCCAATCACGCCCCTCCAGGTACCACTGTCATCACCCACATGAGTGTCGAAGTCCCCCAGTAGAATGACAGAGTCCCCAGTCGGAGCACTTTTCAGCACCCCTACCAGAAACCCCAAGAAGGCCGGGTACTCTGCACTGCTGTTCGGCCCATAGGCACAAATGACAGTGAGAGACGTATCCCCAACCCGAAGGCACAGGGAAACGACCCTCTCATTCACCGGGGTAAACTCCAACACATGGCGGCTAAGCTGGGGGGCTATAAGCAAGCCAACACCAGCCCGCCGCCTCTCACCACGGGCAACTCCAGAGTAGTAGAGAGTGCAGCCTCTCTTGAGGAGTATGGTTCCAGAGCCCAAGCTGTGCGTGGAGATGAGCCCGACTATCTCTAGCCGGTACCTCTCAACCTCCCACACAAGCTCGGGCTCCTTCCCCACCTGCGAGGTGGCATTCCATGTTCCCAGGGCTAGTCTCCGTGTCCAGAGATCGGGTCGTCGGGGCAATTTCCTTCGACTGCTGCCTGATCCACTGTGCACCAGCCCCTTACGAATCCTCCTGCAGGTGGTGGGCCCACGAGAGGACGTCCCCCTCTTAGTCTGACCTGTAACCCAGGTCCTGTTTGCCTTGGGAGACCCTACCAGGGGCATATATCCCCTGACAACATAGCTCCTAGTATCACTCGGGTACTCAAACCCCTCCACCAAAATAAGGTGGTGGTTCAAGGAGGGGCACATATTTTATATGTTATTAAAATGGTATGAATTATTATAGTGGTATGAATGGTATGAAATGCTCAAGTAAAGTACCAGTACTTCAAATTAGAACTTGAGTAAATGTACTTAGTTTCAGCATCTTTAAACTGTTTTACTTTAGAATTTTTATTTCTCTGTATAACTCATTACCCCTTCTATGGTTCATTACAGGTCTGCACTTATTATATTTTACTGCTGTGTTCTGATGGGCTCCAGTTAAGTAAATGCATCACAGTGGGAGCTGCCACATCCTCTTACTGAGTATGCCAGAAACTTACAAATGAATGACTCCAGCAATCACTTGAGGTTTTACAGGCAGTACTCCCCTCCTACTGTGCTGCAGGACAACACACCGGGGAGATGAAAATCAAATTTTTGCAAATGGGATTAAGGCACCTACAATAACAAAATGAGGAACAAAGGAACTTGCTTTATTAAACAAATGAAGTACCTGATAGTCCCTTTGTGGCTTCTACTCGGCATATTTCTATAAATGGTAGATGACTTGGAGAAAGGGAGATCCGTTTTTTCTGATGGAGGATTAATCACATGTGGGCTAAAGTACTGTTTGAAGTTGTCAGAATAAAAGTCTCTATTTTGAGACATGAGTGCCCACAGAGAGTAAAAGATTTAGGGGGAATACAGTTTGTACTGGCATACAACAAACAGAAATATGCAATACAAATTAGTTGAAATGTGTTTTCTAAAGTAAAACAAAAATCCTTTATTGTCCTTTTCTATCAAAATAAAACATCTGCTGCTGTGCATCTGAACCTTTAAGAAAATATACAGTAATCTTCAAATGTGCTTTTAACATCCTCCCTAAGTTTGATGTTAACCTTTGTGTGCCTGTGTTACACTGAGTTGGGAGGGCTTAAAATAAAAGCCATATCTCTGCTATGCAGTAAGACAAGCGTGCCAAAAACAAGATGATAATAAGTGAAAAAAATCACTTTAACCTCATCCAGAGCCTTTTCCCAAATGCCACATGCCTTAAGCTCAGTAGCATTTTGGGATTATATCACATGTGTGTTGTATTGTATGTGACAAGCATAATCTCTTAGGTAAGAGAAGCAGAGAAAGAAAAACTCATCATGAATTAGTAAGAAGAGAATGAAGAGGCCCTTCCTAAACCACAGGTATTATTTGCTGAATAGGATTGGTTGCCTGCATAAAATTAATAATAGGAAATGCTAGGGGAGTCCAGCAACTTGTCCAAGATATACTTTCCCTGGATCTCCAGACCTCTGGAAAATTTGGGTGGCCTGCAACTGGGCTTCCTCTGGTTTCTGATGTTAATGTCATTGCTTTTGCTGGTAAGACAGGAGCTTCACCACAAGTATGGTTTGGGTCAGACAAAAGGGACAAGCTGTGATAGTAGAAAATTTCACTCTGCATTTATCAGAGTATTTTCATCCCATGGTATAGTTAGTTGCCACAGAGAAGGGAGGAATGAAGAGGAGGATGAAATTTTTCAAATCCGATTGTTTATAAGTACTTTACTTTTCCAGAAATCTGAAACCACACAGCGTATTATGGTTAGTGAATGTTCTGAATTACTTCAACTACTTAATGGTTCCTCCTTACCCAACCCACAGAATTGTTTCATAGTGGTTTAAAAACTTTGCTTAAGTCATTTAGTTGGATGTTGAGTAATCTGCTTTCTAAACTTACCCTTCACATTTAAGTACATAGGTTGTTCATTTGACTGTAAGGCTACAGTGTGGTTAATATGGCATAACATTAAAGGGAAATAACAAATTACTGTTATTGGATGAAAAAAACATGCAATATATTAACTTTTGATGACTTAGTAAATGTGTAATTTTTTAAAATGTTTTCAACCATAAAGTCAAGCGGTCACTTTTCAACCTTAGGATGATGAATATTCATTGAAATGGACACGTGAAACTCAGTGAACATGTAACTGACGTCATAAATAAAATGTTACAAAAATGCTATGTGCCCTTGAAATCCTGGTTGTCAGTGTGAGAACAGCCCTGCTGGTCTCTCTGTTAACCCTGCTAAAGTTGGCACCATTTAGAGAATCTCTTTTTTGAAATATCAGGGGGTCACAAGCCTGTTACTCTATATACAGAGTACAGTATTCTACATATGTACAATAAGTAGAGGTGGTGGAACATTTTGTAAGTCTTGTGTCACCAAAACTGCTCCAAGCAGGATGAATGCGTTTACATCGCCAACAGGATATCCCCTCAGACTTGCTCACTGTGTTGGTGATGAGGATAACAGAAGGTGCATTACTTTTGCTCAGCAGCTTGGGAAGGTGATAAAGGGTTCCCAGGTCCTCTCAGAGGGGTGCAGTGGTACACACCGATCCATTTACGTTGACAGCATTTAATCTCCCCAGCTACAAAAGGTTTCTGCTTTAACCCCTAAAACAGGGTCATGGCCAACCTGACCAGAGTCAGGAGAAAAGGATTTCTAAACACACAGTTGCCTAGACCAGTGATTCTCAATGCTTTTCCTAAAGAGACCCGTTTTATCATCATCGAATATGCTGACGACTTCATCCCCTCAACCACGCACACAATTACAAATGGAAAAATAGACTACCTATTTTCAAATGTCTTTCATCGTTGTTTCATAACTGTTTTTATGCTGTTTTATTCCTGCACATATAGATGAAATAAGATTATAAACTAGTTATCTTAGTTAAAAGTCAGATACATTAACCCACAATATGAAGCAGCTTAACAGTTTCAATAGTTAGATGTCTTTTAAAGAGATAGCCTATCTGAAAGTATAAGGAGGACAGCTACCGTTCCAGTAAATGTTAGTAAATTGCTGATTGGTTGGGGTACGGGAGCCGACAGGTGTTTGAGGGGCTAACATTTAACGTGACTTTGCAGCGCTGCGGTTAAAATGTTGTTGACTAGTCACGTTCAGTATTTAGCAGACAGTTTGGAGTTATACTACTACTTGTAAAGTTTATGGATTTGGTAGCAGCGGTAACGTGAAATTAGCAAAGTTTCGGACGACTTCTGACTGGGGTGGTAAAGCTAGCTACACTGCTAACGAAGCGCCGTGGACATGCTAACAGCAGTAGAGCAAACGCCAGAAACGTCACTGCCCCTCTGGCAGCAAGGAAGACTGCACTTTTCTCTGGAGCTCTTTCCTAGAAACCAACAGTTTCAACGAACTATGAGAAACGTAACAGTTCTGTGTTCTGATGTGAGTAATTCAATTTTGACCTGTATATGAGGTAAACACACCACTACTGTATAATAACTTCAAAATACCCCATTACAAATATCCTGGGTTGAAAATCCGTCTTAACTAAAGGTACATAAGTATAATCGGCGAAATTATCAGGAAATGAATAGGACAAAAGGAGGAAGAAAAAAATCTCTCATTACTCATTTTGGTAAAGATATTAGTTTTATTTTTCAATTCCTTCGCATTTTTGTGCACTCAAAGCACTTTCATGACATAAAAAGTAAACTTATTTACCACAGCCATTAACATCTATAAATAAAAATGTAGAATGTAGCATTTTTGATACCTGACATTTATTCTCCATAGTATTGACGTAATTTTATCAATTCCATAAAAGATGAAGTTCAATGGAGCAGTTCAGAACTATTTTACCATGTTCTGTAAGGTTTGAGCAATGTGAGAGAATTTGTTTTCTATTCAGTAGTTGTTGTTTTTTTTTAAGCAACTCAGTATTGACAGCAAAAGGTCAAATCATTTTAGATAGTTGTATATACTGGGCTGATGGCAAACAAGTTGAAGAGGCTTTAAAAGGCCACCAAGAACAGACACTCTGCTGTGCTAGTAGGCTGTGAAAGTCTGAACATTTTCAAAATGTCTCAGCACCAGTGACAGTAAAGACACAACGTCTATTGTCTCTTGTACTTGGTGATTAAAATAAATGATTCCTGTTATGACTAGGAGCTGCATCTTACTTCCCCTCTATTCACAAACAAGTGTGAATACTTTACTTTAGTGAGTAGCAGTTCTCATTCTTAATCAGTATTGGGTATATACAGATTTACAGTAATCTAACTTCCTCATGTTTTTATTATTTTTGGCCTATAGTCAAGAATTATAATTATGTTGAATGAGTCACAGTAAGCTTCTAATTGCACAGGTTTATGCTGGTGGAACCAAGTGAAACGTGTCATTTGATTCATATTATGTATTGCATCAACATCCATGCACGTCATGCGTTTCAGATGGGAAGGGAAGGGTGAGAATGAGCTTTGCAAGCTAACTGTAGCTTTGGGTCACATTATGTTCAGGTCTTAAAGTTTTGCAGAGGCACTCAGTTCTTAGTACATGAGTATCAGCCAGGTTTGGGTCTCAGCTTTAGGCCTGTGCAGAACTACCTGTTTTAAAGAGTCTAAGGGGTAGGGGTGTGCAATATTCATCAAAAAACCTACACACTATCTGGATATTTTCTGGAATTTTGGCTAACAAAAGCAGAAGATATTTTACATCCTTCAAAAATGTGTTTGTCTTATATTGTACAGTGTCACTCTTGTAAATATGATTAAGTGTTGATACTTTTTGGAAACTATATATTTATGGAAAACGGATAAATATTTAAATAACTTTTTGCAGAATGACTCTGGTAATGCTTGCTGAGTGCATTTTTATGCTGGTACTTTGGCTGGTTTAGTCCTGTTGTAGACAGCTGCGTCCTGGAGCATTTCATATTCTTCATATTGTGTGCTGTGGTTAGTTCGCAGATAGTGAAACAAGCGTTAAGTTGTCTTTAACCGATTTCTGCTCTAGTTTCCACATTGCTGTTTTGTGAGCAACACATGTCTTTTCAAAGCCAAAATGCTTCCATGCAAAAGAGAATGATCACTGTCTAGCAATTAACAATGTAAATTGTGAGGCTGGTGGTGTCCAAAGTATTAACTTAAGGGGGCTGAATAATTTTGCACTCCCAATTTTTCAGTTTTTTATTTGTTAAAAAAGTTTGAAATATCCAATAAATTTCGTTCCACTTCATGATTGTGTCCCACTTGTTGTTGATTCTTCACAAAAAATTACAGTTTTATATATCTTTATGTTTGAAGCCTGAAATGTGACAAAAGGTCGCAAAGTTCAAGGGAGCCGAATACTTTCGCAAGGCACTGTATATATATATATGTATATATATCATGGGTTCCTAATGGAAACAACTGTGTAACTGTACAGGCAGAGTTCGTCATACAGCAACACTCAGAATGATGCTCTTTATTCATTTTCAAATGAATTCACTGTACAAATGTCACCACCGATTTACTAAATGTTCAATAATGAGGCCTGTCTATCATTACTATAACCCACATGACTTATTGAAGGGAAATGTTCTCAATTATAGTGATGGTGGTAGAACATAACCCTTGTTCTGTAGCTTGCAAATCATTTCATGGGCTCTGGTCATGCTGGCATGATTTTAAAACACCTCGGGTCTGAGGTAGCACATTAAAAATACTCATAAGCATTAATTTGTCAATGGGATGTGAGATTGTGTTATGCTTTTGGCAGAAATGTGTATGAAATTTGTGGTTTTGCATTGGCAAAAATAGATCCCAGGCCTTGCTTCATTTGAAAAGTGTATAATCTAGTCTGTGACTGTCAACTCGGTCTGAGGAAAATGAATGTGACCCAGTCTCCATGTTCCTTGTCATGATGATGATAGCATTCATGGGAGCATACTGTAAAACCCAGTGGGAGGTTACCCAGCTATGGAAATGTGTTGGCCGGTTAGTGCAGCACATTTCATACAGTATTTATTAAAGCCACTTTACACCCCTAAAATAAAGTGAAACAAACTGGCAATTCAAACTGATTAAAAGTGCTCAAATTTGTATTTTAACATCATTAAATCATTTCTATATTAATTGTAAAATAGGTGTACCAAAAAACAAATTGCACTGTTGCAAAGAAAATTGGCAAAATATGTATTTTATATAATTTTCCGCAGCTTGGATTTTACAAGTTATGACTGAAGGTTTAGACTAACTGTTCCCATGTATCAAAATGAATTTGACAATGACATGTTTAAACACCAAAAAGTGGTGTTTCAGCATTTTTACTCCATCTGAAAATATACTTCATAATGTCAGTTTCAGGTGCTGTGACCATGTGGAGAGCGGCTCAGAATGATGTGAATAGACAGACATATGAGCAGTTCTGTGGTAACAGGGACTTGGCTTCCTGGCACACACTAGGTATACTCTGTTGATGGTCAGCCAGCACCCTGGCCCACACTGGGTCAAATTTATGGGTAGATATCTGGCTTGTCTCTGCCACTTCTGTGGGGCAGAAAGAATAACATTTGGCCTCTTTGCTGGTTGTGCTTAGAGTGTGGCGAAGTTTCCCCTTGGAGGAACCAGCCTGGCTACACATCACAGACCTGCTGAGAGTAAACTGAAAATGGCAAAAACACTCCTCCACACTCTTCTTGAAGGTTAGCATGTGGTCGATAGTCTCGTTTTTATTGTTAGGTTTGGTTTTAAGACCTGCGTTTTGAACTTGGTTTGCCATGGTAGCATCATACTTGTCTCTCAGATCAAACCAGCAATGAGCAAAATGATTTCCAAATACATCTGTAGAATAACATTTTCATTATTATCAATATGTCACTGTTAAAGTACCTAAGTTAAATGTTCTACTTTAGTTACCTTGATCTTTCTTCATGAGTTTTTGGCAGCCTGTAACCCTGATGATAATAAAACAGGAAACAGTCACAATGTGTCATTATCAGAATGAGGAAGTAAAGATGCTGTGGTATAGATATAGTTTTGTGGAGAAATTATCAGTTACTAGTCACCAGTTAAATGACCTTAAGAGTGATCCTGTTTTATCACTGACAGAGGAGTTTTAAAACAACCACTTTAATATAATGAGTTCCAGCATTACTCACCTCTCAGCATGTCATAGATTACACCTCCACCTCTGCAGCAGATATTTTTTTAAATTTAGTATGAAATTACATGTAGTGTAAAAATGGGGAAGTGCCATTTTTATTTTCCTGTTGCGTGAACCTTGGAACATGCAGCCTTCCAGCTGCTCCAGCAGCTCAACTCTGAAGTAGTTTCACTTCTCAGTGGCTTATGTTTTTCGTTTAAGTTGCAAAATATCTAGTGAGCTCGTTGTTGGTACAATCACTCTCTCCAAAACCACATTACTCTGACTGCAGGGCTTCAAATCTCAGACATGAGGGATGTGGCTCACTTACTTGCAAAGAACAACAGTGTGACTGTACTTAAACTGGAGCGGTGTTTATACAGAGCCCTGCCGCATAATTACAGTTACCTGTAATACTTAAAGTGGAAATCCTCAATTACCCGGAATGCAAAGAAGAAAACCCTTTTTTCCTAAGCACTTACCAGTACTGCTGTAGTGTCTTTCAACTTTCCAGAGTGAACAGTTACTGTTCCAGTCTGTTTCCTTTCCTGAGATTTTCTGCTGAAGTTTGAGTGCTTGTCTCTTTATCCATGATGGATTTTGCCATTTGAGCTAACTGTCTAGGTTAGTCCTGCACCCCTCCCCCCACAGCTCTCTTTTTCCATTATTCACACAACCACCAGCACATTTCAGTGTCATCTTGAATGCCTTTAAGAAGAGACTTAAAAAATGTATTCCTTCAGCTCTGTTTAAAAGACTGTCTTGCCCTTTTCTGTGGTGGCAGCCAACCTTTAAGCATACTCACCCCTTAAGGACCCAGCTGTGTTGATACACCAGGGCTGCAGAAGCATGGGCCACAAGGAAAAGAAATTAAAGGGTCGTTTGTAACATCACAGTTATCATGACAGATGATTAAAAAGATGACTGCTGTAATAACTTGCTATAATTGTAAATTCTTCCTTGTATTTTTATAATCTTTTGGCATCTGATGAGCTTTCAAACGCATGGCTCTATTACTCAAACTGGACTTCTTGGATTGTATTTCATTGTCTTACTTGTACTGTTTGTCTGAATGCCTAATTTCCCCAGCAGCAAAAAAAGCAACAAAACGGAACAAAAAACTGACCTTTTAAGTAGTTCCAATACCAAACCTCTTGAATATATGAACTGACATTTAAGTAGTTCCTATACTCAAGAGGTTTGGTATTTGAAACCCTTGTTCATGATATGTGATAATTGGTGACTAGAGGGTCAAAAGTAACCAAATATTACTTTTACTCTCTCACAGAAATAACTAAATTTAGTTTTCAAGACATTTTTAT